CGGCCGAGTGGGGTGGACGATGGGCTGGACCAGTGACCAGCCCCGAGCTGGTGCCGGTGCAACACCATGGCCAGCTGAGGGCGGAGGCCTTGGCCAAGTCTACAGCAAGCAGCCGATGATCAGCCCCGGGTCTTCGTTATTGTGTCCTGCACGGAGGGGGTGGCTGCGAGCGGCTCGGTCCTCTAGGAGCATTCTCTCCAGGCAGATGACATACACATCGTCGTCCCCCAAAAAACTTAAACTGTTTGGCCCAGCCGGTGTGGCTCAGTGTGGAGCACTGACCCATGAACCAAGAGGTCACCGGCTCAATTGCTGGTCAGGACACATGCCCAGGTTGCTGGCTTGATCCCCAGTAGGGAGCGTGCAGGAGGCAACCAGTCAATGTTTCTATCCCTCTCCCTTCCTCTCTCTCTAAAATCAATCAAAGTATTTTTTTTTTTATGCCCTGGCTGCTTTGGCTCAGTGGCTAGAGTGTCAGCCTGTGGTCTGACGGGTCCTGGGTTCGATTCCGGTCAAGGGCACGTGCCCTGGGTTGCGGGCTTGATCCCCAGTGGGGGGCATGCAGGGGGCATCCGATCAATGATTCTCATCATTGATGTTTCTATCTCTCTCTCCCTCTCTCTTCCTCTCTGAAATCGATAAAAATATATTTTTACAAAATAATAAAATGAAATAACTTTTTTTTTAATTTAAAATAGTTGCTCTCTGGCCTTTTACAGTCTCCCTTCCTCTATCTGAAATCAATAAAAAATGTATTTAAAAAAAAAAATAAAAGATGCTCTGAAGACCGGGAGGCACCACGTGGACCTCCTTGAGGCCACGGGCCAGGGGTGGGAGGGAGGTTCTCACCCTGACACTGTGTCCTTCACAGGCGAGGTCTTCTACTTTGCAGGCCCTGATAGAATGTGTTTGGTGTCCATAAGTATTCGGCAAAGGGGCTGAATCTAATCACCAATAGCTATGAAAATACACAGTTCAGTAAAGCGGACGAAAAACCTATAAAAACAAATAGTCCACACATCCAGGGCGGACAGGGGCACACGCCTCAATGAGTCACCACTCCCTCCCTCACGGGAGGAGCCTACAAGGGCACAGCCCCCCTCTGTCCCCTAGTGAATCACCCCACTTTGGGCTCCTGGCAGGTACCCCATCCACGTTCCCCGGGAAGGCTGCTACGGGGACAAGGACGAGTTTCCCGGCGTGAGAACCTATGGCATCCGCGACACCAATGAGACGTATGACGTGTACTGCTTCGCCGAGGAGATGGAGGGTGAGGCCGCCTGCCCCCTTCCCAGGGGCCCCCTTTCTATCCCCCTTTCACCCTGCTGACACTCGGGATCTCACCCAGGGCACCCCCGCACTTGACCCCCTCTGCCATGGGGAATAGAGGAAGGGGGAGGGGAGAAGGGGGACTCCAGGCCTCAGTCACCCCAGGCTCCTGCAAACTGGTGCCACCACCCAGCCAAAGAGTGGTGGTCGCTGATCCCTCACCTGGGACTTCCCCTCCCAGCCAGGCCCCTCACTGCTCTGACCAGCCACCACTGTCCGGCGTGGCTCAGTGGTTGAGTGTCCACCTATGAACCAGGAGATCACGGTTCGATTCCCGGTCAGAGTGCATGCCCAGGTTTCTGCCTTTGCAATGGGGTTCACTTAAAAGGAGTATCAACGTGTTACTGAAAAGGGGGGCGGGATCCAGTATCTCCCCCAACAAATTCAATAAAAAGGGAAAAAATAAATGGATTGTGTCCCCTTCCTCTCTGAAATCAATAAAAAATGTACTTTAAAAAAAAAAAGAATGCTCTGTAGACCTGGAGGCACCACGTGGACTGCCCTGGGGCCGTGGACCAGGGGTGGGCAGGAGGTCCTCACCCTGACACTGTGTCCTTCACAGGGGAGGTCTTCTATTCGACGTCTCCAGAGAAGTTCACCTTCCAGGAGGCTGCCAACGAGTGCCGACGGCTGGGCGCCCGGCTGGCCACCACGGGCCAGCTG